TATGAGGGTTCCTTTTTCTCCACAACCTCTCCAACATTTGTCGCTCTTGGTTTTGGATATTTTTGCCAATCTAATGGGTGTAAGGTGATATCTTAGTGTAGTTTTGATTTGCATTTCCCTGATGATTAGCGATGATGAACATCTTTTCATGTGTCTATTGGCCATATTCATATCTTCTTTTGAGAAATGTCTGTTCATGTCCTCTGCCCATTTTTTGATCGGGTTGTTTTTTTGTTGTTAAGCCGTGTGAGTTCTTTGTATATTATGGAGATTAACCCTTTGTCGGATAAGTGGCTTGTAAATATTTTTTCCCAATTAGTGAGCTGTTTTTTTGTTTCAATCTTCTTTTCCCTTGCCTTAAAGAAGCTCTTTAGTCTGATGAAGTCCCATTTGTTTATTCTTTCTATTGTTTCCCTCAACTGAGGAGATATAGTGTCCGAAAAGATTCTTTTGAAAGTGATGTCGAAGAGTGTACTGCCTATATTCTCTTCTAGAAGACATATTGTTTCAGGCCTAATCTTTAGGTCTTTGATCCATTTTGAGTTTATTTTGGTGTGTGGTGAAAAAGAATGGTCAATTTTCAATCTTTTGCATGTGGCTGTCCAGTTTTCCCAGCACCATTTGTTGAAGAGACTTTCTTTTCTCCATTGTAGGCCCTCTGCTCCTTTGTTGAAGATTAGCTGTCCATAGATGTGTGGTTTTATCTCTGGGCTTTCAATTCTGTTCCATTGATCTGTGGACCTGTTTTTGTACCACTACCATGCTGTTTTGATCACTGTAGCTTTGTAGTATGTTTTGAAATCGGGGATTGTGATTCCGCCGGCTTTGTTTTTCTTGCTCAGGATTGCTTTAGCAATTCGCGGTCTTTTGTTGCCCCATATGAATTTTAGGATTCTTTGTTCAATTTCTGTGAAGAATGTTCTTGGGATTCTGATTGGGATAGCATTGAATCTGTAGATTGCTTTAGGTAGTATGGACATTTTAGCTATGTTTATTCTTCCAATCCATGTGCATGGAATGTCTTTCCATCTCTTTATGTCGTCGTCAGTTTCTTTCAAGAAAGTCTTGTAGTTTTCATCGTATAGATCCTTCACTTCCTTGGTTAAGTTTATCCCAAGGTATTTTATTCTTTTCGTTGCGATTGTGAATGGGATTGAGTTCTTGAGTTCTTTTTCTGTTAGTTCATTGTTAGCATATAGAAATGCTACTGATTTATGTATGTTGATTTTATACCCTGCTACTTTGCTGTAGTTGTTGATTGTTTCTAATAGTTTTTCTATGGATTCTTTGGGGTTTTCTATATATAAGATCATGTCGTCTGCAAACAGCGAGAGTTTTACTTCTTCGTTACCTATTTGCATTCCTTTTATTTCTTTTTCCTGCCGAATTGCTCTGGCCAACACCTCCAGTACTATGTTGAATAAGAGTGGTGAAAGTGGGCACCCTTGTCTTGTTCCTGGTCTGAGAGGGATGGGTTTCAGTTTGTGTCCGTTGAGTATGATGTTGGCTGTGGGTTTGTCATATATGGCCTTTATTATGTTGAGGTACTTTCCTTCTGTACCCATTTTATTGAGGGTTTTTATCATAAATGGGTGTTGGATCTTGTCGAATGCTTTCTCTGCATCTATTGAGATGATCATGTGGTTTTTGTTTCTCATTTTGTTGATGTAGTGTATCACGTTGATTGACTTGTGGATGTTGAACCATCCCTGTGTCCCTGGTATAAATCCCACTTGATCATAGTGTATAATCTTTTTGATGTATTGCTGTATTCAGTTTGCCAGAATTTTGTTGAGGATTTTTGCATCTATGTTCATCAGTGATATCGGCCTGTAGTTCTCCTTCTTTGTGTTGTCCTTGTCAGGTTTGGGGATCAGAGTGATGTTGGCTTCACAGAATGTGTTAGGGAGTACTCCATCTTCTTCAATTTTCTGGAACAGTTTGAGGAGAATAGGTATTAAGTCTTCTTTGAATGTTTGGTAGAATTCTCCAGAGAAGCCGTCTGGTCCTGGACTCTTACTTTTCGGGAGGTTTTTGATTACCGTTTCTATTTCCTTACTTGTGATTGGCCTATTCAGATTCTCCATTTCTTCCTGATTCACTTTGGGGAGATTGTAGGAGTCTAGGAAGTTGTCCATTTCTTCCAGGTTGTTCAATTTGTTGGCATATAGTTTTTCATAGTATTCTCTTATGATCCCTTGTATTTCATTGGTATCTGTTGTGATTTCTCCTCTCTCATTCCTAATTTTATTTATTTGCGATTTCTCTCTTCTTTTCTTGGTGAGTCTGGCTAAAGGTTTGTCGATTTTGTTAATTTTTTCGAAGAACCAACTGTTTGTTTCATTGATCCTTTCTATTGTCTTTTTTGTTTCAGTATTGTTTATTTCTGCTCTTATTTTTATTATTTCCCTTCTTCTACTGACTCTGGGCTTTGTTTGTTCTTCTTTTTCTAGTTCTGTTAGGTGTCGTTTGAGGTTGCTTATGTGAGCTTTTCTTGTTTAGTGAGGTGAGCCTGTATTGCGATGAATTTCCCTCTTAGGACTGCTTTTGCTGCATCCCAGATGATTTGGTATGTCGTGTTCTCATTTTCATTTGTCTCTAGATAATATTTGATTTCTTCTTTAATTTCTTCAATGATCCATTGTTTGTTCAAAAGCGTGTTTTTTAGTCTCCACATTTTTGCACCTTTCTCTGCTTTTTTCTTGTAGTTGATTTCTAGTTTCATAGCAGACTGTGGCCCATGAGCCAAGAATGGTTTGCACATTTTTAAAGCATTGTTTTCAAAGGAGGAGGAGGAGGATATGCAACAGAAACAATTTGTGGCCCCAAGTCCTACAGGACGCGTCATCTGGTTGGCCCGTTTCCCAGCCCTGCTCTAAACACTTCCCTGTTCCATGCTTTTGATGAATGTTTTATCAGATTTGAGCCTCTGGGGTGTGCTCTTTGGTTATTACTATGAAATGAAGAAGAAATGCTATTCTGAACATCAGACATATTCATAAGATTAAACGATTTTAAGATTTTGTGATCTTGAACTTTTGACAAATTGGGTATTTCTTAAAATGTTACTGTGAAAACTCTGAAAACCAGTCAATTAAAAATTCTCAAAAGTCTTCAAAATTTGCTGAAACTGTCTTTTGTAAATTGCTGTACACTTTAATATACTTAAAAGGAATGTGTTTTTGGTAAATCTATGAAATCTAGCTAATTGATAATCAGCTAATTGAGTCTAATGCCCCTCAGTTCACTGTGGTGGTTATGTATGCAAGCTGGATGTGAGGATAGTTCTAAGCTTGATACTCGAGGACTAGACCGTTCTTTTTTGTTTTTATTGAGGTCATGATGGTTTATAACATGGTGAAATTTCAGGTGTATGTTATTTGTCAGTTTCTGTATATACTACATCATGCTCACCACCAGCAGTCTGATTTTTATGCGTCACCATATACCTGTGCCCTTTTACCCCTTTCACCCACCCCCCCAACCCCTTTCCCCTCTGGTAACCACTGATCTGTTCTCTTTGTCCATGTGTTTGTCTGTCTTCCACGTATGAGTGAAATCATGCGGTGTTTTTCTTTGTCTGGCTTATTTCACTTAACGTAATACCCTCAAGTTCCATCCATGCTGTTGCGAATGGGATGATTTTGTCCTTTTTTTATGGCTGAGTAGTATTCCATTGTATATATACCACATCTTCTTTATCCATTCATCAGTCCTTGGGCACTTGGGTTGCTTCCACGTCTTGGCTATTGTAAATAACACTGCAGCGATCATAGGGGTGCATAAGTCTCTTTGAATTGTTGATTTCAAGTTCTTTGGATAAATACCCAGTGGTGGGATAGCTGGATTGTATGGTATTTCTATTTTTAATTTTTTGAGAAATCTCTATACTGTTTTCCATAGTGGCTGCACCAGTTTGCACTCCCACCAGCAGTATGAGGGTTCCCTTTTCTCCACATCCTCTCCAACATTTGTTATTTTTTGTCTTGATGATTATAGCCATTCTAATGGATGTAAGTAGATATCTCATTGTAGTTTTAATTTGCATTTTCTTAATGATTAGTGATGTTGCACATCTTTTCATGTGCCTGTTGACCATATGTATATCTTCTTTGGAAAAATCTGTTCAGATCCTCTGCCCGTTTTTTGATCAGGTTGTTTGTTTTTTTGTTGTTGAGTTGTATGAGTTCTTTGTATATTTTGGAGATTAACCCTTTGTTGGATATATGATTTGCAAATATTTTCTCCCAGTTGGTTGTCTTTTCATTTTGTTCCTGGTTTCCTTTGCTTTGCAGAAGCTCTTTAGTCTGATGAAGTCCCATTTGTTAATTTTTTCTTTTGTTTCCCATACCCGAATAGACATGGTATTTGAAAAGATGCTGCTGAGACCCGTGTCACAGAGTGAACTGCCTTTGTTTTCTTCTAGGGGTTTTATGGTTTCACATGTTACCTTCAAGTAGCACTGGAGTTCTTAACCTGGATCTGTGGGCTCAGGGAGAGTGTGAAGTTATGGTTGAGGGGTCTGGAGGGGAGGTGCCATGATAAAAGAGAGTCCATAGCTTTTAGTACAGTTTGGTTTTTTTGTTTTTTGTGTTTTGTTTGGTGAGGAAGATTGTCCCTGAGCTAACATCTGTGCCAGTCTTCCTCTATTTTGCATGTGGAATGGTGCCACGCCCGGGATCCAAACCTGCGAACCCTGGGCCAGTGAAGTAGAGTGTGCAGACTTAACCACTGTGCCACTGAGCCGGCCCCTCAGTACATTTTTTTCAAAGTTTATGACCTCAAAAGGTTAAGAAATACTGATCTAGGAGAAAGAATGTCTGCCTGTCTTTCCTTGGTCTGGCTGTTTTCAGTGGGAAAGTAAGTGAAATACAGTAGGTGAGACTTAAGTATTCAGAGGTTTCACAGGTCACTGTGAGCTGTGAATAACGTGTCCCTGGCTACTGGGAGAGTTCGGGGTGGATTGCCCTTTTCGGAGTGTGTGCTGTTGTCTTTTCCAGACGAGCAGAACTACCTTCTCCGGGACGCCGAGGCCGAGGTGCTTTTCTCCTTCAGTTTGGAAGAGTCCTTAAAAAGGGCACATGTTTCTCCACTCTTTAAGGTACACCTTGGAGGGAAAGTCAGATAAGTCCACGTAGGCATCACAGATTGCACAGTGGAAGGTGACAGTGACTCAGGGGAGGCACACACCCAGAGGAGCTGGTTCACCCTGGCCTCCCGCTTCTTCTTGGATGTGTTACTGGAGTCTTCCCTGGGAAATCCACTTGTTCCTCCAGAATCCTGTTCTTCATTATAATTTAAAAGAATGGATTGAGAGTTAAATAATAGATCTGTTAGAGATAGACATTATAAAATACTTGGGTGTTCCAAGAGTATGTTGACGAATAACTTACTTGGTAAGAGGCATTTAAGTTGATTTTTCTGCTTTTGACAAATCTTACATTACTTAATACTATTCTTATTAAATATGTATTCAGCTGGAGAATGGAGAACATTCTTGGAAAAATATTAATTGAATGGGTATCTAAATAATACAGGACTAACGTATTTAAGTATTTGTTAGGTAGGATCCTTAGAACAGTTTGGAAATTTGTTTCTGCATCAAAGAATGGCTAAGTAAATTAATAACCTGTCTTTTACACTTCTTAAGGAGCCAACTTAATCAGAAATGATTTACAATGCTGAGTTAAGATATATTTTACCTAAAATAGTCCGATTTTTCTAAATGTTTGATTTTCTTTTTTTTTCTATGAGCAGTTTAAAACAAAATAGTATTTTGTGGTACACTTAGGAGCAAGGGTATTAGAAAACTAGATCTTAGCCATCAAAATCATTTACTACTCTGAGTACAAAAGAAAAGGAACACAGGCGCTCTGCCAGTCTGTTGCTTGACACATAAATGTGGATGATATCATGCTAGTTTAGAATTTTATGGAAATTATGAAAACGTTTATATCATTTTTGCTTGTATCACAAAGTCCTTCACGTCTGTGAGGAGCGTAAGTTCTAGTTACTTGTAGTAATCATAGACCAGCCCTAACATAGGAAAGTGCTTAGATTATTTCTGAATTTCCGTCCTCGATTCCTCCAGGCCTCTTTAGGTTGGGGAACTAGTGGGGGCTAGTGCCTTCATAACTTTGTGAAATTAGACATTTTGTCAAAAATCTTAAGATAGAATTTATGAAAAATTAGGTACTTTAAAAATTAAAAACAATTTGAAAACACAGTGTACACATTTTCCTTTTATTTTTAGGCGAAATATTTTTACATCACACCTGGAATCTGCCCGAGTCTGTCAACGATGAAAGCGATTGTGGAATGTGCAGGAGGAAAAGTGCTGTCCAAACAGCCGTCTTTCCGGAAGCTTATGGAGCACAAGCAAAACAAGGTGGACGGAAGTAGAACAAGCTGTTGAGCGCGTCACTGTCTCTGGGAGACTCACTGTCAGTAACCGGTGCACTCGTTCTCTTTTCCCTAGAGTTTGTCAGAAATCATCTTAATATCCTGCGAAAATGACCTTCACTTGTGTCGAGAGTATTTCGCCCGAGGCATAGGTATGCTTCCTGCTCTTGCTGTGTTGGAGTGTGTACGCGCACGCGCAGCACTGCCTTTATCTGAACAGCTGTTGTTTTCATTCCTTTCAGATGTTCATAATGCAGAGTTTGTTCTAACTGGAGTGCTTACACAAACACTGGACTATGAATCATATCCTTTTTGAAAGATGCTTAGTGCAGAAACCCTCTCATCATTAATATCGGAACAGTGTGTGTTCCATATCTCCATATATTAGGAAGTTATTGCCAGAGCTAGTGCTGCAAATGGTAAGGACCCACCAGATTGTGCAGATAGGCCATAAGCATCTTATTTTTGTACGATACGTACTTTGACATCGTCCCAGATTTTTTCCTACCATTCATATTTATATTTGTCATGCCTTTTCTGTACTACTCTTACTCTCAGAAGGAAGAGTTGCTTTAAAAGTCATTTGGGTGATTTGGGGGTGTCATCGCAGGGGCCTTTCTTCGTTTCTGTAGTCTGCAGGTAGCCTCGTTCGTTTTGCCCCAGCTGGGTGGTTCAGAGTCGCAGGGGTTGGCAGGGGCACCTGCAGATACGGGTCGGGGTCAGCTGCTGGTGGGGGCTTTAGGGAGCGTCTGCTGTGGGGCACAGCTTGGTTGTGGGAGCGGAAAGAAGAGTCAGCTGTGATGGGGTCTCAGCTTTGGCTGCGTGGTGCATCACTGGTAACTGAGACCAGCGCTCGTGCCAGGCCCACCGCGAGAGTCGGTGCTCGGCTGCGGGAGCCTGGGGCTCGGACGTGCAGCCTGACCTTCTGCTTTCAGTGGGTGGAAACATGCTGCCACACTCTTACTCAGTCTGGGCCTCCGTGTTGGATGGTGTTGCGCTGTGGGGTCTTTGGATGCAGTTTTCCTCAACAAGCCTACATATAAATTTAACTGATGTGTCTGCACTGCCGTGTGACTGGAGTCCCGGAGTGCCAGCTGCTGGACGGAGCGGCCAGTGCTCCCTCACACGCCCTTGTTTTCCAGCTGCTTCCGTAGGTGACAAGCGTTTTAAAGCAGGAAAACAAATATAATAAATATACTGCATCTTATTAAGATGTGTAATTTTATTCTGAGGAAACATAAATTATGTTTTGTATTATATGACTTTAAGAGCCCACATTAGGTTTTATGATTCATTTGCCAGGTTTTTAAATGTTTTCACAACACTGGTGACGGAACTTCAGCTACAAATAAAATGGTGTAAATAAAGACCTTGCTATCTCTAAATTATGGATGTTAAAGATTTGAAATGTTTTGTACTTTAATTATTTTTATTTCTTATACTCTTTTCTTTTATATTGATATCTTGCCTACATTTTAAATAAATGTACTTTTGAACTTAGAATTGAGTGATCCTTTGTTATTCCATGTATTTTGCGTAATTTATATGATTTGCATCAAACTGGATCACATTTTAAGTAATTTCAAGGCAAAATATTTTCTAGTAAATTTTCTCCTAAAGAAATAATTTCTAGAAGGCAGCCATTCTCTATCAATGTAATAAATAAACCCCCGGGCAGAGGTGTACTCAAAATATTTAGCAATCACTACAACACGGCACCAACCGGTCAGAAGCATTAATAGCACAAAACCTGTATCCGTCCTGCTCTGTTCCAGATCTGGTTCTAATGCTCTTCCTGTTGAGTTGTAGGTACAAAAGAATAATTGAAGACCACTGTCTTATCAGGGCAATAACCACTGATGTATTAATGACTACGAATATGCTAATGCATTTAATATAATAACATAATTGCTGTATTAATGTCAGTGTATTTAGTATGTTTGTGATCAGTACTGTCACAGACCTTCAGATCTGGTCCCACATCACTGTGCTCATCAGGTATGTTCCTGGAACACTGAGTTTATTTCCATAACAATTTCTGAAATGTCTTCCCAGAAATATTTGTGATCTACTCGAGAGCTTATTTTTTAATTGCAGAGTCTCTACCACTATATCTGGAACACAGCTTAGGTGGAGCAGGTGTATTGAAAACATTAACACAGAGTGCGTTCCCCGTCGTGGGAACTCTCAGCGTTCACATAGGCCTTGGGTGTTGCTCACACAGTCAAGACAGCAGTACTTACGTGTTTCTCCCAACTCTGCAGGGACAGGACGACTGGAGCTATTTCTACAAATGGAAAGGAAATCACACAATTTCACAGTTTTAAAGAAAGGATCAGAATGTTCCACATTATCCATCCCCTATGTGACCTTGACCTGTGGTTTTCACAGTGATCCATCTGATTGCCATGTGGGAACACCTTCAGTCTTATCAACACGACTGATTTATATTATTTATTGTCTACGGGAAACATTTATCTGTTAAGCTCTTTGAAATACGTCCTAACAACAATTTTTTTCAGATGTACTACATGCTGGCACTTACTTGTGTTTTCAGCAAACTGTCCCTCAGATGTGTCTGCTTCTAAGTCATACTTCTGTACCTAAGCAAACTCAGAGAGAATTATCTGCGAAACTGACCTTTTCCCCTCATGTACCACAGGTGAATTAGCATTGCTATGAAATATCTTGGATTCTGTAAAATCCCCTAGAAGTGCAGAAGAGTTCCTAAGTTGGAACAAAGTTTTGATTGCAGAGTATTCAGAATAGTGCCCTGCTGCTTACACCTTGATGGAAAGTGAAGACGATGGAATCAGCGGGCCTTCTGGGGGGAGTGTGATGCGTCTGCTCAGTCTTCAGTGGAGACGGGGCGTTTGTTTAACCAACACGCAAGTATGACTGATTTGATTAACCTTTCAAGTAGTGCTTTTTTCCAAAAGCTGCCAAGAAATAATCCTTAAGAACTCCAGGAGCTGTCTACAGCCAACTGGCCTGCACAGCTGCTAAGCACTGATTTGGTGGCTCAGAGGAAGTTAGATATGAACATGTAAGAATAAAGATTTCAAGTAAATCCTTCTTAGAGAAGTTGATTAGAGTAGAAAAATTATTTCTCATGAGAAAAAGAAGTCTCTTTTTCGCGTACACCTCTTGTTTTGTCTGGCTGAGGCTTGTTTAATAGAAATATGATATGAACCACGCATGTAATTTTAAAATGTCTAGTAACCACAGTAAAAAAGTGTTTAAAAATTAATTTTTATACTTATTTAACACAATATATTGAAAATACTGTTTTAGCTACAAGTAATATTTTTAAAAATGATTGAGATAGCTTTACTTTTTGTTTTGGTGCTAAGTGTTTAAAATCCACTGTGTGTTTTACACTGGGAGCACATCTCAATTCTGACAATAAATTTTCCTTGGAAATGTTTTATCTGTATTGAGATTTCATGCCGCTTACAGTTTAAAAGGTAGATTGGCATACCCATTATTCTAAGCGTTAGTGTGTTCCAGTGACTGCATTGGGGTCAGTCTTTAAGTTAATGTTAAATAAGATTGAAAATTCCACTCCTTGCTTGCACTAGGCATGTTTCACGTGCTCGGTGACCAGCTGGAGGTGGTCATGCTCGAGGAGAGGAAAGGGCCAGCTGTGCCGTCTCCCTTTGTTAACAGACAAGGATGGCAGGAAGTGCGAGTGCCGGTCAGGAAGGTGTGTATAGTCCATCCAAATAGTTCCACGACTGCTTCTCCATGGAGAATAATTAAAATTACATTTCCCTACTACCTGATAGATCACAAAAGGTGTGGTTTTATCTGTGTGGGTGCTAGGCATTGAGAGGAAATGTGGAAGAAATAATGAGTATCCTAGCGCCCTAGGTAGGAGTTTACAGTCTCATCAGGAAAAGGTAAGCAACATGTCTTAATCCTGCAAATATTTGGTAATTTAAGAAAAAAATACTTGAGTAGTAATAATTGTACAACGCTATTTTCTTTAAATATTGTAGCATAGAAAAGGACAAGGCTGATGAGAGAATTGTAGCCTCAGCTCTTTAAACCCAGGTGCTTCTCAGTTCCCTGTGAAGCTGTCCCAAGTTACTCAATTTTGTTGAATTAAGTGTGCAATTAAGGTCTATATTTGTGGGGAGTCCAGCTACCTCCTGCACACCTTCCAGTGAACGGCAACGTGTCCCAAGTGAACTTCTGTCTCCCACCACCCACTCACTCATCTTCCAAGCCTCCTGTGTTTGTCGCACTTGACAGCATTGGCCACCTCCCTCGCTGCTGCAGCTGAAAACACCTCCTCTGCGACTGCCCCCTCTCCACCTTCCAGACGTGCCTTGTGTAGCTTGCTCACTCCCTGGCAGAAGTGTTCGCGTCTCTCCATCCCCATCATCGCCAGGCTCTCTCCTTCCCTCTCAGAAATCTGAGCCAGGTTCTTAAGTTGCCTCCCTGCCCCCCGTCTTCCCTGTCCAGTCACCCTCCGTGCTGTTGCATGAGGGATTTTTCTGAAATAGGATTCTGCTTGTCACATTCCTGCTAAAAAGAACAAAGTACCCAAGTTGTGATGTTTCAAACCTTTCTTGATCTCTTGTCACATCCGCATCCCAGCCCCTCATTCCCATTATTCACAGAATTGCTTGCTGCTGCTCCTGTTAGGGTAGCTCCTTGTCCTCCCTGGCAGGCTTGCCCGCTCACTAAGACCGTGAAGCCTTTTCTGATCTGCCCGGCTTCATGTGTAGTGTCCTCCTCTTTGCAGCCTCAGCCTCTGATCCAGTGCAATAAATGCTGTGGAGATGAGTCGTTACTTTCTGCAACCTGTTTCTCCACTGCTGGGAGAAAGCACAAGCTACGAAAGAAAACAAGTTGGAGCACGTCAAAGTTAAAAACTTGTGTGCATCAAAAGACACACTCAACAGGGTAAAGAGACAACCCATAGAATGAGAGAAAATATTTGTAAATCATGTATCTGATAAGGGGCTAACATCTAGAATATATAAAGAAGTCCTACAACTCAACAACAAAACAACCTGATTAAAAAATGGGTGAAAGAATAGACATTATTCCAAAGAAGATACATGATGGCCAAGAAGCACATGAAAAGATGCTCAACATGGTAATCTTTAGGGAAAAGCAAATCAAAGCCACATGAGATACACTTCAATCCCATTAGGATGGCTACTATCCAAAAAAGAAAAAAAACCCAAAAAACAAAATAGGAAGCGTTGGAGAGGATGTGGAGAAATTGGAAACTTTGTGTATTGGAGGGAATGTAAAATGGCCTAGCCGCTATGGAAAACAGTATGGAGGTTCCTCAAAATTTTAAAGTAGAATTACTTAATCTGGAAATTCCACTTCTGGGTATATACCCAAAAGAATTGAAAGCAAGCTCTCCACAAGACATTTATATATCCATGTTCATGGCAGCACTTTTCACAATAGCCGAAAGTTGGAAGCAACTCAGGTGTCCGTCCATGGATGAATGGATAAGCAAAATGTATACACATACACTGGAACATTATTCAGCCTTAAAAAGGAAGGAGATTCTGACACATGCTACAACACGGATGAAGCTTGAGGACATGGAGTGAACAGCCACACAGAAAAGGACAGACACTGTGTGATTCCACTTGCATTAGGACCCTAGAGTCATCAAATTCAGAGACAAAGTAGGATGGTGGGGGCGGGGGGCTGGGGGAGGGGAACGGGGAGTCAGTGTTGAATGAGCATAGAGTTTCAGTTTGCAAGATGAAAACAATTCTGGAGATGGACAGTGGCTGCACAAGTGGGACTGTACTTCATGCCACTTAATTGTACACTTAAGAATGGCCAATATGGTAAATTTTATATTATGTGTATTTCCCCACAGTTTTTAAAAAAGACAAAGGAGCTGAAGAACACTAGTTAAGTGAGTGGTGAGGAGGTTGGGAAGAAAGATACTGTTGTGAGCTCGGTCTCGGGTCTTTCGCAGGACTTCATTGAACGCTCTAACCAAGTGTTCACAACCCCAAATCCACATACAGGATTACATGATAGGCAATATCTCTCTCTGTGTGTGCGTGTTTTTCTGTGACTGAAAATGTTTTTGACCTAGGGAAGATTAAAAATTTACTGTGTTAAAAAAAAACAGACACAGGATGGAGAAGCACTTCAGGAGTGACAGAATGAGGACCTCTGTCCGCTTCTCCACGAGAACACAGGCATAAATGATCAAAATCCACATTTGCAGACCTTGGAAGGCTGCCTGCGCTGTCCACTGAGCCGTGTAGGTTTGGGTTTAGGTTTCGAAGCTCCAGGACTTCTGAGGTTACGCCGTCTGTGTCATTTTGGCCAGGGTGACATATCTTCCTTGTAAGGAAAGGGAGGCAGGCAAGGGACTTGCAGAGACGTGCAGTTTCCTTCTCTGTTGCTCATGCCAATCCCCCAGGTGAGGAGAGGAAGCCCTGCCTGGACTGGAGCAGCGCAGGCACCAGAGCAAAGAGGGTCAGGGTGCCCGAGGTGTGAGACGGAAAGCCTGTCACAGAAGAACGCATCGTTAGGAGTGTGGCACGTGAATCGCAAGGCTCCGTTGTGTAACTTAGATGTCGTCGTCGTGTGTGTTCTCCGGAGTGAGTGGCAGTGGTTTGGAGCTGGTCCGTTGGCCCCGGGAAAGGAGGAAAGGCCGGTGCCTTAGGAAGTGGGTTCTGAAGTCAGGACGTAAAGGTGATGTTTTCTCAGCTAAGTGAAAGCAAGAGAAACACTCCCACGAGAATCTAATTTTTAAACAAGCTGCTAGACGAGGCGGCTTGAGTCGGGAGGGGAGAGAAAGATGGCGTGAACTCAAACATGCACATCCCATGTGCAGTGTCATGACTTACAGTGCCTGAAGAACCACACACAACAATGCCGGTCGCCCCATCGTAGTGGTCCACACCCCTGAGGGCGGCACAGCCCCGCAGCAGGCGTGTCACAGGGCAGGGCCTCCCGCTTGGGCCCCTGTAGCTGCTGCTGCTGGCTTCACGGGGACAGGCCCATCACAAGGAGTTGGGCTCATGCTCCCGGGGCTGCCACCCACCTTACACTGACCCTCCACAGCTCCGGGCCTCCCTCCTGTTATTAGGCAAAGAAGAGGTGAGTCCACTTTCTGCTCCTGGACAAAGAGAAGGTCACGTTCCTCCCTGGGGATACGCGGTACCTACAGCAGAGCAGAAGGGTTTGCTGCAGAGGACGGCGCTGTCGCTCAGTCGTCCGAGACCCACCAGCACGTTTCCTAGGATGGCACATTTTACAGCCCAGAATTCTTTTTGATTAAAATAGCATTCGTATTTATGTCCCATGTCACACAGCGTTGATGTAATAAGCAGAATGTTAACATGGATGCAAATATGTCTAAATGGGAACTTATTCCTCCCTAACAATGGGCTGAAGTCTAATCGCCACCGAAGCAGAGCGGACGTCTAGCTGGGGTGTTGCATGTGTCTGGTTTTATTTGGTCGGTGGAAGCAAGAGAAAGAGACGGGACTTGACCTCAGCCGCCTGCTCCTCATCTATGGCTGTGTCCCTTCAGGGCTGCTTGCCCTTGGTGCTGCTGAGCACGGGCTGGGCTAACGCCTTGAGAGTCAGACTCAGTCGCCCCGACAGGGCCAACCCAGAGCCCAGAAGAAAGAGCCCGCGCTGGCCGGGCTTGGAGGGAGAGTCCTGGAGAATTCTGAGAGAATGAGGCCGCTGCCTTGCTGGGTAAGACATTGGGAAAAGATGGGATTTTTAAGAGGTTCTGAAGGTAAGTTCCCTTTGATATTTTGTGACATCTTTAATGAAGACTCACAGATCCGTCTTAAGAACAACAATAGGACAGTGCTGCCTTGTCTTTGGGGACACACAGTGACATCAAGAGAGGGCAGGTGTGCCCACTGGGTTACATCTTGAGTGCGACCTTCCAGGATTTTGGACCTAAACTCCAATACAGCTGCACCTCATCCTAACTCACCATGAACACGACCAGCATATGCCTTGTGACACAGAACCCCGCCCCCCCAACCCCGGGTTTCGAGTCCCCGTCAGCCGCCAGGGGACAACACAGTGCGTTTCTGAGCAAACCGCTTACCAACAGGTGTGCCTGGAGATAGCGGCGTGCTGGGGACACTAAAGGGTGCAATTTTATATTGATACGGATTTACAACTGTTACAGTTTTATTTGAGCACTATTTGTACACTTCCATCTACAAACCTTCCCAAGCAATATTTTTTTCCTTCGGATGGGATTTAATTGCAGCACCTGATGCTGGGGAGACAAAGTCGTGAATGGAGCACATAGCGCCTCCCCTGGACTTTCTTTTTTGCAATCCCACTTGTCCTGATATTTTTGAGTTGGGATTTGTTTATCGTTGGTAAACTATTTTTCGTGTGTATGCAAAATGTTTGGTTTTATTTCAATTTACTCCTATTTTTTGATT